TCGACAGAGCGGACTTGCCATATGAACTGGGGGGTCTCTGGCCCAGAGTTTGCCAGCATTTGGGTGAGCCAGATGGTAAAATACTGAAGGACCTGAAGGCTGTTTTTCATTGTTTTTGTTTAAACATTCTTCTAGGTCAAATAACCCTGGTGTATCCACTTGCTGTACAGTGGTAAATTGTGGCTGCTGTGAAGCTGAACACTGTAACACTAATATGTCAAATGTGTTAATGGTTATCCACGTTGGATGGTGCTTGGTGGAGCTCCCCGATAAAAACAAGCTTGGAAGCAGGCGCGGCATCCACTTCCTAAACAGCTTGCCTCTTGGAAACCCTATGAACCTGGAGAGAGGATGAAAGTCACACAAGTGTTGAGGACTCTCCTTCTTAGGGTCACTATGAGTTCCCCATGACTTGAGGGCACTCAACAACAACAACTAGGGTTACTATGAGTCATAGTCAATTTAGTGGAGCCTAACAACAAGTACCACATTGTATTCAGTCTTGGTCATAGCCTAACAGAAGCAGAGTCTCAGTGTTTACCATGGTGACAGCTGGGGTTGCCAATAGCTATGTTCCTCACAGGAGTTTCTCCTCAAACCTGTGGAATAATTCCAGGAACCCACATATGTTTCCTCATATTTTTCTTCTCTAATGCTTTTTATATTTACTGTTCAAAGATGCTATTTTGACTCCACTAAGCAATCAACCCACCTTTCTTCTTTCTGATGTAACATGGGTTGCTTTTCTCATCCAGTTTAGAAGCATTATAGATATTGAGATGTATGTCCTCAGCTCTTCCACCTTCTGCACAAGAAAGGATATTCACTCATACTTAACAGCACTCGATTGTTGTGTCCCTTCAATGAAAAAACAAGCATAGCTACACATTGGAATCGGGGTCTTCAGTTTCTAAACTTACAAATTTACAATGACTTCAATCTCTTCCTCAATGTCTTTACAGTCACCACCAATTTAATCTTACTTTGAGGTAGAATCTGATATAGAATTCCTAGAGACATTGCTTTTGAGTCAGTACTATATAGCCTATTGCTTCACATGGTAACGTACAGTTTATCAACATCACAATGCCTTTAAGATATTTTCCCAGTTAAATTGGATTTTACACTATCACATTTGTGTATAAAGTCCATCTTGTGGCTAAGTAGGACAGAGAGAACACATAATTAATCTAGTGGTTCATCTTTGATCAATTGACTGGAATTGCTTATAGCATTGCTTTGAGAAAGACCCTAGATGATGTGATTGATTAGTGATGTCTGCAATGGATGAGTGAGAGGATCTTTATACAAACATAGCACATTTTCAAAAGGCAGCACGGGATGACAAAGCAAAATATTACAATGAAATGTGCAAGGAGTTGGAGTCAGAAAATCTAAAGGGCTGAACTCACTCAGCATTTCTTAAGCTCAAGGAACTGAAGAACAAATTCAAACCTCGAGTTGCTATAATCAAGGATGCTTTCGGCAGAATGTTAAATGATCCAGGAAGTATTAAAAGAAGATGGAAAGAATATACTGGGTCACTGTACCAAAAGGAATTGGAAGACACAGAAGAATTTCATGAAACAACATATGAGCAAGAGCCTATGGTGATGAAAGAAGAAGTTCAGACTGCTTTGAAGGAAATGGCCAAAAAATAAGGCTCCAGGAATAGATGGTATACCAATTGACATATTTCAGCTAACAGATACTGCCTGGATGTGCTCACCAAGTTGTGCCAAGAAATCTGGAGAACAACCACTTGGCCAACTGACTGGAAGAGATCTATATTTGTTCCTATTCCAAAGAAAGGTGACCAAACAGAGTGTGGAAACTATAGAATAATCTCATTGGTTTCACATGTAAGCAAGATTTTACTGAAGATTATCCAAAAATGACTGGAACAGCACATCAGTAGAGAACTACCAGAAGTCCAGGCTGGGTTTAGAAGGGGTAGTGGTACTAGGGATATTGTAGCTGATGTTAGATGGATCTTGGCTGAAAGCAGGGAGTACCAGAGGAATGTCTATCTGTGTTTCATTGACTATGCAAAGGCATTTGACTGTGTAGACCATAACAAACTGTGGCTGACTCTGAGAAGAATGGGAATCCCAGAACACTTGATCGTGCTATTGTGAAACCTATACTTGGACCAGGAGGCAGTGGTCAGAACAGAGCAAGGGAACACTTCATGGTTCAAAATTGGGAAGGGCGTACGCCAGGAATGCATCCTATCTCCATACCTTTTCAACCTGTATCCAGAACAGATTATCTGGAAGGTTGGGCTCTATGAGGAGAAATGTGGGGTCAAGATTGGTGGACGATTTATCAACCTTCTGTGTTATGCAGATAACACAACCCTGCTTGCTAAAACTGAAGAGGACCTGAAGCACCTGCTGTCAAGGACTGCAGCCTCCAATATGGATTGAGGCTCAATGTCAAGAAGACAAAGATTCTCACTACTGGACCAATTGGCGGCATCAGGATGGATGGTGAAGAGATTGAGATTGTACACAGCTTTGGTTTGCTTGGCTCCACAGTCAACACTCTTGGCACCAGTAGCCAGGAAATTAAAAGGCGCATTGCCATGGGAAAGTCTGCTGTTAGGGCCCTCTCCAAAGTACTGAAGAGCAATGGTGTCTCTCTGGAGACTAAGGTGCGTTTGATACAGGCCATGGTCTTCACAATCACTTGTTATGCATCAGAGAGTTGGACAATGATCAAGGAGGATAGAAGGAGAATTGATGCCTTTGAGCTGTGGTGCTGGAGAAGAGTATTGAGAATACCATGGACTGCTAGGAAAACAAACAGATTTGTCCTGGAAAGGGTTAAACCAGGTGGCTCCTTGGAGGCAAGGATTCTGAGTCTCCGTCTAATATACTTTGGACTGGTTGTGAGGAGAGACCGGTCCTCGGAGAAGGACATCATGCTTGGGAGGATTGATTCAGTGACTGGGATAATCGGGATCGGAGTGTCAGAGACAGTGTGATTGTCACAGGACAGAGCAGAGTTTTGGGCTGTTGTACATAGGATCGCTATGGGTAGCAAGTAACTCAACTGCACATAACAACAACAACCTGTATGGTCTGTGAACACAGAATTGAATGAAGATGTCATGCTCACAATTCTAAGCCTCTGATTATAGCCTCAGGTATTGGTCTCAGTTAATTTGTAGCTAAACTCCCATACTAATTTAATAAGTTAAGAAGTTATTCATTTGACTTTTTAAAGACAGAAGTTAAAAAGGAAAAGAGGAAGTAAGTAAAGCAAAGTGTGGCCTTAAATTGTAGGCAGGACCATGTATTGTCAGGGGGTGAGGATGAAATCCAAAGAAAGAAAAAAAAAAAAAAGGAAAAGAAGGGAAAAGTGTAGAAAAGGAAATCTCATGGGACTTTCTAAAGATTAACAACAAAACTCCCAAAACTTCAAGTCATGGTGACTTCATGATGACATCTGATTGGGTTTTCAAATGATGAGATTTTGGAAGTAGATCCTAAGGCCCTTTTTTCAGAGATGGACTTGAACCACCAATATTTCCTTTAAGAGTTGAATATATTACTCTTTTGCACTGCCCCAAATTCATCCCAAAAGAAAATATTTTACTGTATTCAATTTTATCTCTCATTGACTCTCAAACAATCCATGCTTTAGTACTAGACTGATGCCTTTGGCATACTTTTTCTAGTATTTAAAATGTTGCTCATTTGATTGGTATGACTCCTTCGATCAGTACTGAAATCTTCCTAAGTAGTTACTTCTCAGTGATAATGTACTTTATTTTCCTCTTTTATTATTATTATTAATTTTAATGAAAACTTACAGAGATTTTGAATTTCCGTTCATTCACTGATGCACTTTTCTCCCTGCCCACCCCTCCTCTCCAGTTTGTTCTTCTATTGGAAAAGTAAAAGAAAAATTCTTTCATTGTTATACAATACCTCCTCCCAAGTCCACTCCACTATGCAGCTTTCGTTGTCATGACAATAATACCTATTCATATATACTTTTTAAACAGTTCTCTCTCACACCTGTTTCAATGCAGTGTATATAATTTATCCACTCTTTCTCAGTCTCCTCCACAACCCCTATGTCAGTCCCATTTTACAACAGTGGCATTATGCAGTATTTTTCCTTTTGTGACTATTTCACTCAGCGTAACATCCTCTAGGGCAATCCATTTTTAAGACTATTTCATGAGTTCCTTATTTTTCAATGCAGTGGTATTCCATTGTGTAAATATACCGCAGCTTTTCTATCCATTTGTTTGTGATGGGCACTTGGGTTATTTCCAACTCTTTGCTATTGTGAACAAAGCCACAGTAAACATGAGTGTGCATATATCTGCTTGGGTGGCAGTTATTGTTTCTAGGGGGTATATTCCAAGTAGTGGATAACGTACTTCAATGATAAAAAGCCAAACCTTGCCTTAGTTTTCCTCAGTAGCTACAAGAAGTTTCCAATAAAGCAAAAACAATCTCAACTAAAAATTCACTTCTAGTGTGCCATGTTGCTATTGTTATGTGCTGTCAAGTTGTCTGGGGCTCATAGTAACCTTTAGGTGCTGTAGCCTTAAACCCTGCTCTATCCTGTGCCAATTTTATCTGACACACCTTCCTTCATTACCATTGCTGTTGTTGTGGTTGTTAAGTGCCTTCCAATCTTAGACAACTCCCCTGTGAACAAAAGCCCTGAGCACTGTTCATAGAGTTTCTAGAGGCAAGCCATTTCAGAAATGGATGCCACTCCTGCTTCCAAACTTGTTTTAATCGGGAAGCTCCACCAAACACTGTCCATCATGGGTAACCATTACTACGTTTGGCACATCAGTGCCACAGTGTTTAGCATCACAGCAACCACGAGTTACCTCTGTGCAGAAATGCACAGACCAGTGCTATACCACATAGAAGACTGTTTGACAAAAAACAATTTAAACCAACCACCATTACCATAGAGCTGAAAATTTAAAAGATCTGTAATTAACCATTGTGTGTTTTGGCTAGACTCTTTCACAGGGCTGGTTAACATTTTGACAGACATCATTTGGCGATTCACTGGAGACTTCATGGCACCTGACCTGGTTTGCCGAGTGGTCCGCTATCTGCAGGTATGTAGCAATTTACCAATATAGAGAGACAAATGGACACTAAAGTCAGCTCTTATGATTATTTTTAAGGCAAAAAATACTTCCTTGCACAATTACATAACAAGTTTACAACTTGTTCCCTCTAAACTACCCCTCATTCGCCCCCCCACCCCCTCCCCAGCCCCCTACCCCTGCACACCACCCCCAACACTGCCGCGGAGCTCCCTCTCTGAATAAAACACAGTCAGAGTAGGTCCAAGGCCTTAATATTGACCTAGAAATTTTACTTACTGCTTGAAATACAAATTTGCTTTGTTCTTATAGTTGCTTATGCTAAAAAAAGAAAAGCAACAGCAAGACCAAAAGCTTTTATAATTCAAAACAAAATTTTAAAAATAGTAACCAGAATGAAAATTATTCATATTTTTTAAAAGCAACACCAAAAAGAAAAATATTCTTCTATTTCCAGCAATAAGTAACATTTCTGAATCTTTATTGAGCCAGTTGGATATATTTTGGCAAGCAAGCATCAGAAAGTTTGTCAATTATGTTCACCTATTTTCTCCAATACTAGCTACTGTTATTTTTTTAAAGTTTTGCAATTTTTAGAAAATTAAGTATTCATTCATGTTGGTTTCTTAATTCTTTTTATATTGGTTAGCATACAATACATAAACATTGTGTTGCACACTTTCTTTCACGTTGTATTTCATATAATAATTCCCATATGTTGTGTTTTATGAAATTAATTACCATCAATCTATGCCTATTATTACCCCATCCTTTCAGATCCCCAATGGAACTTTGCTAATTCCTTCACCCCCACCCTCTGCCCAACAAACCCTGAGACTCTGTGATGTTTTTTTCCTCCTCACCCTTAGTCCTCATGTTCCTTCCCTCTTTGGGCTTTTGTACATTTGATTTGTATTATTTATTACCAGAAAAATGGTACATTTTATCTCATATTGATTGACATTTGAATTTTTCTCCTTAGAATTGTCTGCTACTCACCTTTTATCAAATGGATCGTTTTCCAACTTGTTGGAGAGATTCAGTTTTAAATTTAAGATACTATCAAATTTTTGGAAGGATAATTTTTTTGAGTTGTCCCTCTTATTTTTTAAAAATTCAATTTCCTCTTAAGAATTTCTGTTTCCTTGGAAGGAATTCTTTTTATTTCCGTATTGGATGAGCCAATTGCTAAGAAATTAATTACTTCAAAATCTAGTGGTCTAAATTAGCAAACATTTATAGTCTCATAGTGTCTATAAATCAAGAATTTTGGAGCCTTTTAACTAGACAGATTTTTGGCTAAAGGCTTATCATAAGTTTCAGTCAAATATTGGTTGGGACTATATCCAAAAGAGCATTTGACTGAGCTGGAGGATTTAGTTTAAAGAGCTTTACTCAGGTAGCCAGCAGGTAATGCTGCCTTTACTCAGACAATCTGAGTTCCATGTTGACCTCTCCATGGAATTCTTCAGTGTTCTCTCAACCTGTTGCTGTTGGCTGCTCTTGAGTCAGTTCTGACTCATGATAACTTCATGGATAAGAAAAAAAAAGGTTGCCTGGCCTGTGCCATCTTCATGTTTATTGATATGCCAAGGTGTATTGTGTGGTCCCCATACATTTCTAATGTCTTCTAACTTTGGAGGTTCATCTTCCAGCAATATATTGAACAACATTCTATCAAAATTCATAGGCTTTCAGTTAGCTTATTTTCAGAGGTAGGTTTCCAGGCCTTTATTCCTGTCTGTCAAATAGAACCTTATGAGGATAGGCAACCCAAATGACAATTGTATCACCAGTACTAGTGCTTCCAGCAAGATGGTAATACAAAAGCCCACTACCATATGACAGTTATTGATAGATGAGTGGTGACCTCACAACATGCCACCTGGTTTATTTCAAAGAATAAACTATCCAAGACCAAGATGAAAAGAATAGTACATTCTGTTAAATCGCCTCAGAAGTCAAAATCGTTGCCTCCAGTTTACCATCTTGGTCCTACAACTCAATCTTCATTGATTGATAAAGATTAGGCAACTCTACAGAAAAGTGAAATCAGGAGGTAAAGATCATCTTAGGAGTTGGCTACATTTTTCAAAAACATATCTTGCTATAATTTATGTGTTTTCTAATTGTTAGTTCACAAGTATCTTCTCAACCCAGAATTATGCATGAGAGTAATATGTGTTTCTTACTACAGGATTTACCATAAATATTAGTATTCTATGTGGAATATGTCTTGCTGATGTAGTAGAAATAGTTGAATAAATTTTCCCAAATTTTCTTTTCCATAAAAGCAATAAGAAAAATGGCCATTGGAAAAAAACAAACCAACCCACATACATCACAAAGAAAGGGGGAAGAAGCTTTCAGATTTGAAGTCTTCAGAACTCTGGAAATTAAAGTCGTGTAGCAGTTGGGGGATTATTTGTTCAAGAAAAATTACTGGATCTCAATAATAAAAGAAAATTTTGTTGATTTTTTAGCATGCTTTAAGTCTCATCTCTCACTCTTCAGCTCTGCGTTACCATTCAAAAACAGCAGTTCATGTTCACAGGCAAAATAAATAGTCTGGCAGCCACCAGAGAGAATAGAACAAGTAAAGCTCAGAGAAAAATCTAGTTACAGAAAAAACTCCAATTACTGTTATGTCTGGTGGTTCCCTGGGAGATTCTACTTGCATGGAAGTCTACATTATTGGTTGGTTGGTTGGTTGGTTGGTTGGTTGGTTGGTTGGTTGGTTGGTTCAGAGCCCACCCAATGCAAAAAGTCTTCTCCCGGGGGGCACTTACCAAACATTATTAGAGGGGATTGACTGCTTTGTTGACTGCTTGGTATGTAGAATAGCATCGGGAGAAAATAATATACTAACCAAAGCTTAATAACAACAACAATCATAGCTTGTGTAATAACAAATCGTGTAACGAGTTGGAAAAGATCTTCCAGGAAGCTGGGCTCTATGATAAGGAATGTAGCATCAGGATTAAAGGAAAACTCATCAGCAACCTGCTGCATTATGCAGATGATACAAATTTGCATGCTTAAATGGAGGAGGATCTGAATCACTTGCTGAAGAAGGCCAAGGACTGTTGCCTTGATATGGATTGAAGCTCAGTTCCAAGGTAACAAAGATTCTCATCACTAGGTCAATGGGCTAGATGCTAGATGGTGAAGAGATTTAGTTTGCTTGGCTCCACAATCAGCACTGTTGGTACCAGCAGCCAGGAAATCAAAAGACAAATTACATTGGGAAAGTCTGCTATCAGGGACATCTCCAGAGTACTGAAGAGCAATGGTGTCAGTCTGGAGACTAAGGTGTGCCTGATACAGGCATGGTCTTTGCAATATGTGCTATGCATCAGAAAGCTTGGCAATGACTATGGATGACAGAAAGAGAATTGATGCCCTTGAGCTGTGTTGCTGGAGAGGAGTATTGCATATACCATGGACTGCTAAGAGAACAAACATGTTTATACTGGAAAAGGTGAAACAAGGCTGCTTTTTGAAAGCAAGGATCCTGAAGCTCCATCTGACATACTTTCGGCATGTTGCAAGGTGGGACCAGTCCTTGGAGAGGGATATCGTGCTTGGGAGGGTGGAGAGAGAGTGCAGGAGTTCCTTGATAAGATGGATTGACTCAGTGACTGAGAGACAATAAGGTGGCCCAGGATAGAGCAGGGATCAGAGCTGTTGTACTAGGGTTGCTACAAGTTGCAAGCAACTTGACAGCACATAATAACAACAATGAGTTGTTTACAGAGGCTTTGCAAAGCTCTCACATGCTCCTGGGCGTCTAGAAGACCATGTACACAGTCCTGGGTGCTGATAACTATGCACATACTCAAAAAGACCACAGAAAGAGCCAAATTGGCACCTCTGGTTAGCCTTGAGGCTGTGCACAAGCCTCAAGTTTAAGGTAAAGTTGTCAAAGGCATGAACCAACAAGACCCTCTGCAACAACCAGGAGCTATATTGAACCCAGGTATTTAAGAATACCTCTGTCTAATATCAATGACTAAAAAGACCATTAAGTTAACTGGTTAGACTTTTCAATGGCCACACAGGACAAAAACCCACAAACTTTAGAGAGTTAGTTCAGGAAAGTCATTGAAATCTATGCCATTGAAAGTCTTCCTGATAATCTAGTAATTTTACTCCTGACTATATATATTCTCAAGAAAGTCTAAAATAAAAGAAAAAGTTCATAGAAGTACATGGCAAAATTATAAGTAATAAAAGACCAACACAAAATGTGGTATATTTATACAGTAAACATCACTTTGCCATTAAAAGAAATCACATACAACTTAAATTGGAAACTTTTTAGAAGGTGAATTAAACCATTTACAATTTATATACATTTTTCAAAATAAACAAATCAATAGGGATAGACCACAACAAATTGTGGCTGACTTTGAGAAGAATGAGACTCCTAGAACACTTTGTGCCTATGCAAAACTACACTTGAACCGGGAAGCAGTCCTTATACTGCATGGTGCAAAATCAAGAAAGGAGTATGTTAGAAATGCATTCTGCCTCCATATCTTTTCATTCTATATGCAGAATAGATCATTTGGGAGCCTGGGCATTATGAGAAGGAATGTGGCATCAAGATTGGAGTTAGATGACACAACTTTGCAGCCCAAACTGAGAAAGATCTAAAGCATTTGCTGCAGAATGTCAAGGATGTAGTCTTCAATATGGATTGAAGCTCAACATTAGGAAAACAAAGATTCTCACTACTACGACAATTGGCAGCATTATGATAGATGGAGAAAAGATTAAGGTTGTTAATAATTTCCACTTGCTTGGCTCCACAGTCAGCACTGTATGAGCACTTATAAAATCAAAAGACGAATTGCATTAGAGAAATCTGCTGTCAGGGACCTTGCAAAGTGCTAAAGAGTAATGATGTCAGTCTTGAGAATAAGATGCACCTGATTCAGATAATGGTCTTTGCAGTTACTTGCTATGCATCAGAGAGTTAGACAACAACTAAGGATGATAGAAGA